TTCAGGGCAGCAACTATGTCTGTCTTGAACACCATTGCAGAGTAAGCACCTACACACATAGTAAGTGCTCACTGACTGGCAGGATACATCCCCAAAATATTAGGAGTGTTTATTCTAACGAGTAAGACAATGGAAAATCTGTTTTTTCCTACTACTTTTCTCCATTTGCTACTTTTCTATATTACACTGATTGTGGTAAAAATAAAATAATGAGGCCAGGCATGGTAGCTCATGCCTGTAATCCTAGCACTCTGGGAGGCTGAGGCAAGTGGATCATTTGAGCTCAGGAGTTCGAGACTAGCCTGAGCAAGAGCGAGACCCCATCTCTACTAAAAGTAGAAAGAAATTAGCTGGACAACCAAAAATACATAGAAAAAATTAGCCGAGCATGGTGGCACATGCTTGTAGTCCCAGCTACTCGGGAAGCTGAGGCAGTAGGATTGCTTGAGCCCAGGAGTTTGAGGTTGCTGTGAGCTAGGCTGATGCCATGGAACTCTAGCTGGGGCAACAGAGCGAGACTCTGTCTTAAAAAAAAAAGAATAAAAAAATAAGGAAATATGTTCTCAAGAATGTCCCCATCCTCGATTCTACCCCAGCCCACCCACCTGTGTAACACAGAACCCAGGTACCAGCCCACACTCACCGTTCCATACTACCTGCACATCCTCCTCGTATACGTGTTTCATATTATTCTTCTTAACTGTGAATCCTAAAGACAAGACACAAGTAAAATCATTCCACAGTTCCTGGATTTTCAGGTTGCTTGTTTCCCCACATTCAGCAATAAACGAGGAAACTTGTAAACAGTTCTAGGAAGGAGTATACCTCAGAGACGACTTGCAGTCTAGACAGCAGTGTCTTAATGAAAGAACCCTCAGACCCAAAATTATTGTCAGCAGGTGTCAAGTAGAGCATTAGCCCAGGATGTTAACCTACATGAGGCTCCTACACCAATAGGAAGATGGACAAAGGGCACAAGGCGATTAATTAGCAAAAATGAAATACACGTTGCCGACAAACAGGAAAATGATTTAACCTCGATGCTGACAAAAAAAATTAACAATCAAAACAACAACAAGATACTATTTTTCACCTATCAAATTGGTAATGATTTTTAAAATATTACCCAGGATTGGCAACTGTCTAGAAATGGATGTTCATGTACAGCACTGGTGGGGGCAGAAAATGATCTGACCATTTTAGAAAGCATTTTGGCAATGAGCATCAAAATCCTTAAAATTTTGCATACCCGTTGGGTCTAGCAATTCTACTTGAAATTTATCTTAACAAAATAATCATGATGTCATGCAGAGACTTAACCACTGCATCCCTGCTCATAAAAACAAGAAATGACGATTAAATCATAACATAATGTCGAATATTGGGACTATGTCATTTTAATTGTCTCATCCATCCATCCATCTATACAATTGAATTAATAATATGCAGTCATTAATGATAAGGTTGAAGAACATATAATGGTATATAGGATGTCGTATATTCTTAGGACAAAGGCTCCACAATGTTAGCCGTGGTTAAATGTAAATGTTGGAATTTATGGTATTATTTATTTTCTTCTTTTTGCCAATCTGAATTTTTTTAGTTTTCCTAACATTAACACATATTCGTACTGTGATTAGAAACAAAAATATTTTGGAAATCATGGGGTCCCAGCGGAAGCAATAGTTTTTTCCCATTTCCAGTGCACGTGGCTCTCTGGCCCACCAATCAGAGCCCAGCTGTGGGAGACCACGCGGAGCTGGGGTAAAGGCACGTGGCTTCACCTTCTGTCCCCCCACCCCCCGCAGCCTTTCTAAGGGAGAATTCGAGGCCTGGTCACAGGCCCACACCTCTCTGATCAGGTCCAGGCTGGGACAGAGGTGACCTGCTTTTTCACAGCATGGGACTGCTTGGCCCTGCAGAGGTCAAGGAGGGCTCCCTGCTGAGGGAGGAGGAGGGAACTGCCAGTGAGCCCACGGCCCTCACCCTAATGAAAGTGACGCAGGCCGCCCTCCAGGAAGGTGCTGGCGGCTCTTCAGCGGAAGCCGAAGCCTCTGGGACCCAGCAAATCCCCCCCTGAGCCTGGTAATTTTGCCTGTGTGCAGCCTGTGGAGCCAAAGAGGCGTTGTGGTGGCCTGAGCCAGACGGCCACTGGGAGAGCCACGCAGCAGCCCACACCGCCTAACCCTGTGCGGGCGCAGCAGCCCTGGACTGTCTTCCAGCACTTTGACCTCTTGGACCCTGCACGCGCAGCCCAGCCCCTTGCCAGCAACAGCACGCCTCGCGGCAGGAAGTTTCCTGCGAGAGAAAATTTGCTCCTGCCCACCCGCAGAAGGGAGAGCATGATGACAGATGTGAGCCAGGGGACCCAGCGAATACTGGCCCCGA